ACACTTCACGCAATACTACTACTACGTAGTCCTTTATGTTTACTCGGTACATTATTGACCTGGCTTTTCAATATGGACCAGACTAGTAAACTAGCAGACGCAAGTGCATTGAAATAATTTCCCGTCCTTCATGCTCCCTCATGTGCTGCTCGTAAACAACATTGAACCTAAAGTACCTATGCCTACCTTCCTCCACGTACTAGGCAGACTCGGTGGTCCCATGGCCATCATATCCTTCACTTGTTTTGCTTACACACTGCTCACCATTCGTAAATTGCTTTTATTCATCCCATGTCATTTCTCGTCGTCCCCAAAATGCACAAGCCCATCTAGCATCCAGTTTGGCGGCGCAAAAAAACCTGCATCTCTGGTGCTGGTGCTGGTGCCGGTGCAAGTGCTCCTCGTAATACAAATCTCCATGCTCAACCCCGGACTTTTGGTTACACAAAAACCATAACCCCCAACGTATCATGTGTCATCCGTCGTCGCCCATAACAGTTTTGGTATCAACTTTTGCTCCGACCCTTCCTGCGCCCGTCCACGCACCGTAGGGACCTGCGACTGGACCACTCCCTTCCTTCCTGGCTCAACTCTTGCTGCCCTCCCCATCAACCCTCAGCCGCGAAACCGCCCTCAACCTACTGCTACAGGATCCAGCGCAGTATCCATGATGCAGAATGACCAAGTTTGATGTCCTGCGGCCTCCGCGATACGCCTGCTCCTCCGTAATCCTTGCCTAAGCCACATCCCTAACCAAACTTCCCCAGACGCCGTCAAACCTATATCCTGCAATCACGCGAGGTGCGAAATGGCCTGGATTGCTATATTTGACCTGGACGTACTCCCGCCATGTCGCAGCTCCTGCCTTCTACCGAGTGCACTGCTTCGCATGTCATGGTAGCCTTCTTGGCACATAGAATGTATTTTTCCGCCATTAGGCGGCTCATCCTGTTCTCCATAGACAAGCGGCCTTGAAAAGAAACGTTATTAATGAGAGGCCACATAGGGAACCCTTCCTGCCTCAAACTCCATGCACGAGCAAGTAACAATATTCTCACGAAAAAAATAAATGCATCCCTTTAACTTTTTATGAAAATGCAATGTATGCCGGCGACTTCGTCAACCACCATTCGTTGTTTCGTAGCGCGTAGACTTGCCCGGTCAGGGGTAGGCAGCTTCCGGATTTCCCTGACGTTCCACAAAGGGGACCCATTTCCGCCCAAGAGACGGTCCGTCAGCATTACCGTAGGGAAGAATCTCCTCCTGCCAGCCAAGAGGGCTCCAAGGGCCCATGTCCTGAGGAGTAGGGCTGCACAGTGCAGAACGGAGCGAGAGGGAGCTTTGAAGACGCCCCCTTAGGACGGCGTCAAGAGTGCGATGTCGTCGTGCTTCTCGCTCTTCCACGGCACTCCGAATAATGCGATAACGTGACTCTGCGTTCGCCCATCCGTTTACGTTTCCAGAGCCTGCAGATTCTAGAATCATCTTAAGTTGAAAGAACGGAAGGTTGATCAGGGCTCGGGACAACACCACACGTGGCACGGGTTGAGCTTGCTGCGCCGCCTTTGGAGTCACAGAGTCCGATCCGCCGGCTTCCTCCGCCAAAGATAGATCGCCAAACTGTATTCCTGTGAGCTGCTGGGAGCGGCGACCCATTCCAAGGTGCACCGAAGATCCTTTCGCAACAATAGGACCACGTTTCTTACTGGCCGGCGATGGCGGAGGGCATTCCGGCAGGCGGGCATACTGTTCCGGGTGTCCTGCAGCTGTGTCGAGACTGAATGTGGGAGGGAGATTATGAACGATGAAAGTGACCACCGCATTGAGGAGAACCTTGGAACCTTCGCCATACTTGTAAGACATGTGGGAGCCGTTGTCAGAAGACCCCTCGAGAGCAAACTCAATCACCTTCTCCAGGGTCTGCCAGCTCAACAACTGAGTTGCCACCTCACAGCCTCTGCGAACAACAGACATCCAACCTAGCAAGTGGCCAGCCGCAGCGTAAGACAAGGCAAAGTCAAGCTGTTCGTGGGAGGTGCCGGCATCGGTGACATCGGCCGATTCTGCGCGGTTTCGGGGCGGAATAGGGAGAAGAGGGTGTCCGTAAAGTCTCTGAACAGCCATGTAGAAGGAGTCGGATCGAATCCACCCACTCCTGGTCTCTAGTAGCAGGATTTGCATACCCCGGTCAGACACCTGATGCATTTGGTTCTTAACCTGCTCAGCAAGGGGGCCACTGCGGGCAAAGATCAATCTGTGTCCTGGAATACGGACAGGAGCAGCTCTGTCGTCAACGTATCTGAGCTCAAGAGTGCAATCAGCCAGCTCAGCATTGCCAAATTGTTGTTGAATGAAGAAGAGGAATCCATCACTGCCGTCATCGAAGGTAGCACCCTGATGCGGAAAGCTGCCTCTTGGCATCATTCCGGCATACTCAGGGTGGCCGAACATTCTCCCTTGGTGGTTATGTACATGTCCATCAGAATCTCCAGGCCCAGTAGCACCGCTGCGATGTCCATTGGGGGGGTATTGGTGATACATGCCGCTGTCATCGGGGTGGCCAGAAGACTGGGAACCGTGGAAGCTATGGGGTGTCGAAGGCCCAAAATTGTTGCCATATGGTGAAAAGGTCTCCAAAGGACCGTACGCCATCCCTGGTCGCCCGTAGTTGTCGAAGTGGCCGGGCTGCATCATCTCTGCGCCGTACGGCGGCATCATCGGTGGGAAGCCGCTCCCTGCCGGTGCCATGTATGCGGGACGAGCATCAGCCGTTGTCATGCCCGGTGGAGGGACCATACCTCCAGTGTGAGGAGGCGCTGGAGATGGGCTTTGCGACCCAGGGAATGCGCCAAAGTGAATGCTACCATTGCTGGGGTGCGAATGGTGCATATGGACCGGCCCATTGGGTAGAGGAACAGGAGGGCCACGTGAGATGTCATTATTGTTCACAACGGCATATGGTCGACCGGCGGGCTGAAATGGAGGGGGCATCTGATAACGAGAAGGCGAGATGCCCGGTGGTGGCTGACCTTTGGCGGCTTTGACAGCATGATGTTGGACTAAATAATGCGGGTTAGCAAATAAATGATGCTCCTGGCGGAATGCATGGTCCTGATTTGACCAACCTGGCTTCTGCCTTGGCTCATTCTTGGACGCGACATTGGAGTCGGTGGCTGACTCTGATGTCGGCTCAGGTGAAGTCGACTCGGCCTGGGAGACACCGGCGGCTGTCTGTCCACTGACGGTGGCCCCATTTGGCTTCTTATCCGAGTCGATCTCGTCAGTCGTCGTCATTGTCGACTTGTTCCCAGCCGGGGTCTCGGATTCGACAGTCTCTGCAACTAGAAAGCAGACTCGGCATCAGCAAAAGGCAGCTCACAAACTTTCAACAGACAATGCCATCCAACATGGAAATTCACTTACCAACCGTGACGTGTCCGTTTGTGCTGGGCCCTCCGTTGGCTGAACCATCGGATCCTGGCAGTGACTCAGCCTTTTGCTGCGAAATGAGAGCCACAGGAGCGGTGGCATTCCCAGCAACGGATTCCGGCGCTACACCATTGGCAACCTGCTTAGTTTGAGACGCCTCCGAATTAGCACCATTTGCCTTGGTGCCTGGAGCCGTGGCCGCATCGTCCTTGGTTGCAACGGTGACCGGCGCCGGTTTCCGCTTCAAAGGCAACGCAGGCACCACAGGCTTCGGCTTGTTCTTAGGGGTGACGGCCTTTCGGCCCTTGGCAGAGCCATTTAGCGGCGCCATAGGTGCAACCGAGTCGTATTGACGATGGATGGGATGAGCCAAAGACGATTATGTGATTTTCTCGTGGGACGTGGGTCGAAAAGTCGGGCATCCGAAGCTCGGGGGGGAGGCGGCGAGGCGGGCAAGGTGCGGTCTGGGCTTGTTTTTCCACAGCCAACGCCGGGCCGCAGGAACAAGGGGAGGAGAGAAGAAAATGCTCAATGCTCTAGACGCCTCGACCAGTACGCGTAGGTTCCGTCATGAGAGGATGCACCGAGTCGCATGCACCTCTCACCAGACGTCCCAGGGCGTGGTGTTGAGGGGAAGAGAGGATCGTGGTCCTGTGGGCGCCAGCAGAGGATTGGGGGAGGAAAAAAAGAATGGAGCTGGTCGTGGTCGCTGGCCACTGGCAGCTGGCAGCTGGCCACTGCGTACTCCGTTCTTCAAGCACTTGAAACTTTGCAACCAGACATGGACTCTCCATGAACTCCGGGACCCTGCCGCCGTTCTCACTGGTCCAGGTCCCGCTCGTCGGCCTGTTGACCCTTTGCAGCATTTGAACATGGGGAGCAGTGGCGGCATGGACACCTACCTGGCTTGGTCGTAGGAGAATGCTGAACAAGAAAAAAAAAATAATACCAGTCGGGGTCAAACAAGCCTCTCGGTTTTATGTACGCAATTCGTGGCCAGGCTCTCGTCCACAGTCTGGAATACTGTCCGGTGTGTTATAACCTGTTCATTACGGCGCTTATAGCCGATCCCCGCAAATTGGAGGCCACAACAAACTGGGTGACAGCGACAAACTGCAACGCCAAAACTGCAACATTGAACACGCCACACGTGTAGCCAAGCTGTGGCTGGAGCCAGTCCACCCACGCCACACCCTAGGCTACCCGAAAACAGACCGGAAGAATCCGCCAGCAGGCGCTCCTCGCCCCTGCGCCTACGAAATAATAACATTATTTTGCATCGGGACAAATATGCTCGTCAGGTACAAAAATTCACGGTTGCATCGCCATTTCAACTGCATCGGCTCTTATTCGTGCACCCAAGCAGTATCTTTACTGTACATATCCATGCACAATAGGTCTGAATCATTGCCCCCCGCTATATCCTGGGCTTTCTGTATCCCACACTGCCTCCTGGTCATGTAAAATCATAAATTCATGAACTCGCTAGCACAAGAGCCGTTCCCAAAAATTGTATATACACCATGCGATGCCAAAAGTTGAGTCTCAGGGGTGGGAGAGAGAGAGAAAGACTATGCATCATGTTCCTCTCTCCTCGACGACCCTGGTTTTTGCGCGTACCAAAAGTAGTAGTTGAAATACCGATGAGTCGACGTGTCTTCCAAGCCTTTTCTCGCCAAGGCCACTCGAATCTCTGCATCTGCCTCTGATATTTGCAGAGCCTGGAACGGTCGGCCTGCTAGTGTTGGGATAAAGTCGAGTATCGCCATTTTCTGATAAAGCCCTATTGCCCTCATGATTTTCCCCTTTGCCCATGTTCCGATGGGAACCTTCATTACTCTGCAGTGTACGTTTTCAAATCCAGCTTCGCGGAGGTAGGGCTCGAGCTGTGCGGGTAGTGTTGTGCTCATGCCGAATTTCTTGTACGCGGCACCCGCGGTATCGTAGAGAGATTTTACGGGATCCTCGTCTGACATTGTCCCGTCGTCGCAGAGTGGTACGCCATGTAGCTCTTGTAGCTCAACCCACCCGCCGGGGCGGAGACTCCTAGGGTGATTGTCAATAACAAAACCATGGCCAGCCCCAGGCAAAGTCAAACGGCACCAAATCACATACTCGTAGGCATGGCCGAGGACGGTAGAAATGTCCTTTAGTATCATGACCATGAACCGGAAATGGGCCAGGTCAACATCTCTCTCTATCCAGTCCAAGGTGCAGTCGTCGACTAGAAAGGAAACATTGGCCGGAACCCATTCGGGTTGAATCGGCGTGAGGTCGATGCCACAGACATGTGCGCTCGGATACCTATCACCGACTAAGTGCGAAACTGTTAGCTAGGTAGACCTATTTAATAACCATGGACCACTGTTATGAACCTTCTATAGCCCAAATCCCTATCGTCATGTGGCGTCAGTGAATGTTCTGAGCAAATGTTTTGCTTGGATGCGGAAAGGAAGCTAACCAGTTCCTGTGCCTATGTCTAGTATCTTCTGTGGGTGCGTCCCTATCGGTGAGAAAAACGGCTTCCCCTCGGTGAGCATCATCAACATGGCATGCTTCATATCCTCCCTGTTTTGCTCCAAGTCATCGTTGGGAATGGGATACCGGCCATCTCCAAATGTTTGGTACCGTCGCCCACGCTCGTACGCAAAGGAGGTGTAGATACTCGAGGCTAGACTTGCTGTCGTGTCGTCTCCCTGTAAACCGCTGTCCAGATCGAATTCGTCATCTGACTCGGTGGCGGGTTCAATCACCGGCGTTTGTGTCGCCCGAACCCCGGCAGAGGGCCCCGGGGATGATGATGATGATGCTTCTGCTGCTTCTGCTGATGGTGGTGCTTCCTGAAGATCGATGGGCGCTTCGACTTTGGCATCGTCGTCATCCACGGTTTTAGAGTCGGCGAAGTCGGCAAGCCCAACGCTCTTAGTCCGCTCGCGAGATCTTGAGAAGACCATCGCGGTAGCCGGCAGACAAGAGTGCTCGGCACGGATGACAATATGAATACAGATGATGGCGGTAATGGCGATGGTGACTGGCGATGGTCAAAGGAGTTCTTAAGATGGTGCGTTGACGAACTTGTGCTGATGTCTCAATGCCTGTTTCTTGACGCAAGAAATGCGACATAAACTGCTTGGCGGGCCAGCGGAAAGCGGCTTGGGCGGGTATGAGTAGCAACTGAAGAGATGAATCCTGCCCTACTCGCCTGGTCAAGTTTGTCTCAAACGACCAGAAGGCAGAGGTGGCGCGTATAGTCACGATTCTGGCGTGCGCCGAACGGCCGCCCATGTATAGCCGTATCAGGGCCGCTAGGCCGCCGCCACCGGAGGGTGTTAGGCGAACACTCTCAACTGAGACCTCTGGGGGGGGCGGATTGCGGCCGGGGAGCAGACAGAGGTGACCTGTCATTGCGTCGACTGATGAGCCATCATCTAAGCCAAAGCGGGGGCCTGGCGTTGGCCTTGTGTTACACTGGCTGCCCTACTCGACCGGAGGGTCACCTGTTACACACGATCGATTGTATTGTGGCCAATATTGCATTAAGGTTCACATTGACATCTCAACAATGGCAACTGTCCCCATCCGGAGCCCATCCGGGGAAGAAGCCTCACGACCAGAAGCACCCCACTTGGATCAGTCAATCCTTCGATGCTGCCGTGTTTCCAGATCCACAGTCGCCCCAGTCCCCAGTCCACTCTCAGCTCACAATGCAAGCCGTGCCGTGTCAAAACTGGACATGGTTGAAAAAAAAAGTCATACGGAGTAATTTTTAAATAAGCAATGTCGCGCCGCTCACACACGCTTTCGGAAGTCGTAAATCATGACTCGCTCTTGGCATGTCCCCGCGTTGCCATGAGCATCTTCTTGACCGTATCTAGGTCGAAGGATTTCCTGGCCTCGGCCAAGGATTCCTGAACCGCTCGTGCACCTCTCCGAATCATCTCATTGTCGTAGTTGGTCAGTACCTCTTCTCTGTGCACACTGCTGCTGCCCAACGTGTTCAGCCCAGTCAGGGCCTTGACATAGTTGTCGACATCTGTGATGGAGTGCTGAAACCCTTGGCCGCGATCTGAAGAAATGTTCAGTCAGTTCATCTCGTCTGCCACGGAGCCGCTTTCTGGGGGAGTTGTGAAACAAACAGATTAGCATTGGATGGGCTGCGTCGCCGGCAAGCGTCACCCGGCCTCCATGATTGTCCCAGGGCACGGGGCTCCAGTATTTCATCTCATCGATGAACACATTGCTGTTTTCCGGCGTCCAGTCAATGGCGGACTGGAACACGTCACGCAGCGGTGTCGTGTTCTCTCTGATGTAGGTGAGGGCATCGCTGCCCCTGAGATGCACTGCCTCGCCGTTCCATATCTTGGTCCAGAACGTCGTCCAACTGGACTCATCTACTGGATTGTCGACTGACATGACTGCAGGAAGGATAACGCTATTTGTTAGCCATAAATTATAATGCTGGCAACCCACTTCTCCGGCTTGAGCGTGGACGAGTGAACATACCGCCAACAGCCCCGACTGAGGTTGTTCCCATCATCAATGCGGCTACGGGATGAGCGCGCACAATGGCATCAGTCTTCTCGGCGTCTCCAAACTTTGTAATGCCAGTGGCAAATTGGAACCCGGAACCGTGAGGCCGGGAGGCGTCGGGGCCCAACAAAAACTCGCGTACTTTGGAAGAAGAGCCATCGGTTCCCAGCACATAGTCAGCATCAAAGACACTGCCATCTCCCAATTTGATGTGCACCCCGGTGTCTGACAGAGAAAGGTCTATCAAGGGGGCATCCCATCTAATGTCGACTCTCCGTGCAAGCAACCGGCGCAAGGCCTGCCGGCTGACTCGCCTGGCATTAGGCAGAGGGCTGCGAAAGAGCAAATCGCCGGTGACTCCGTTGTAACACGGGATGCTCTCTACTTCACTGTTGAAGTCCAAATACGGGTTGCAAACGGCGCTCTTCAAATCGGCAAGAATGTCCTTTGGCACCAACTTCTCGAAGATGGGCATGGCCCAGTGGACCAACATGGTCCAGTCCCGGTGCCTTGCATCGATGCTGACCTCCTGCTCGAAGACGACGGCACGGAAGCCATTCTGTGCGACTTGGGTAAGCAAAAGCTGAGATGGAAATGACCAGAACGGCACACTGCGTCTTACCTGCTGCAGCCCTTGTGCGGCGAGCAGACCCGTCAGCCCCGCTCCAATGATGGCAACAGTCTTCTTGGCCGAGGTAGAAACCGTCATGTCTATGGGGAAGTGAGAAGGTGTTTTGCCAGTCAAGAAGTCAAGAAGGATGAAGACCAACAACGTCCCATATGTATAACCAACAACCGGTCTGGAGGCCCAAGCGTGGTTTGTCTTGCATCAAAGTAAGCAAAGAGTCCGGAGAGAGCAGAGCCCTTTGGCAAGGTCCGTTCGCCAACAGAGGCGGGGTCTGGGAAGTAATTATCTAGCCCTTGGCTTGACCATGGCCGACGGAGCAATATCTACGGAGCGAATTCGCGGGTCGGCCTGGTCCAGGGCGGCCAGGCCAAACCCAAGGCACCATGTGGATGGGGACCATCTGGAAAGCTACAATTTCAGATGCCATGTTGCTGTGTGCTAGTATTTCCATCAGCTCATGGCGCCACCGCGTGTGTCGGCAAGCAAAGTCGGTGGGGTTCAGCGAACAGAAGAAGAAACCCCATGCGAATGCAACTTGACTTGACTTGATTCAGTAGCGGCTCTAGCAAGAGAGTTTAGCAGGGATTGCTGAGTACTAGTAAGTACTTGGGTAGGTAGTCAAGTGTCAAGTGTACCTACTTAGTAATAAAAGTATGTAACTCATGTGCTGGCATTGATGACGCCTGGTTGCTGGCATCCATGTATGTATTAGTATCCGCGCAATCAACTGATACTTGATGTCTGGTCTGATGTGTCTTGTCTTGTCGTCGGCAAAGGTGGACCGGCGTCGGGACAGCGCCTTCCTCGAACGAGGAAGTTCTGGCCCGCCTGGCTGGTCGTCGACGTCTGCTGCTTATTGCTGTCTCGGATTAGGCCCCATTCAACCCGACGGACTGGTGCGGCCTGGTTCAACCGTCAGAATCATCTGCAAGCCGAGTGTGACAGCATAAGCAGCGACGGCAACGCGACAAAAAGCACCCCGGCGAACAAGGCAGACAAAGCAAACCGCGGGTCCGGTACGCGGCGTCGCAGGCCTTCCCGCTGCCACTCCACTGTCGAAACATGTTGCGTCGACTCCGCATATGACGGCAAGACCACGCCCGCTCGACGCCGCTAGCTCGCACCCCCAAGTCATGCAAAGAGGATTCAATTGTTTCACCCAAGTCAGCGGGCGAGCAGCCAGCAGGTACGCAAACAAGGACCGGTTGACATTATCAGTGACACTGAACTGACCAGACATGCACGACGGTGCGTCTTCAATGTTGCAGCCGGAACGCGAACCCAAAGTCCCAACCAGGCTGGGTGAAGTGCCATCATTGATGGCCCCCCCGCTTCCCTCCTTCCCTCCTTCCCTCCTTCCTCCACTGTGCAGCTCCTAACTTGGGTACTTAAGTACCTAATTCAGGAAGGTAGGTTCACATGCAAGCTTCAAATGTCACCCGCAATACTACTGGATACCGACCGCTACAAGGCCCACTGGCGCAGGGGTTCAAACCACGCCCGCGGTTCAAAGTTGCATTTGATTCAACTTTAGAACGTCTGGTTGGAATGGACTGCTCATCAGCAGTCGATCTGCGGATACTAACTATGTGCTTGCGCTGGATGAAATAGGTGCACAGCCCGCCGTACGACCACGAATCAAAGTGACACCATACGGGCTCATTCTCCGTACATGCAATCCAGCCAGCGGCATGATAACATCACGGAGGTTCGCTTACACGGTCCGTATAGCAGGGTTGGATATAAGAGCCGCGGCTTAACAAACTAGATGCTTGGCACATGTCCTTCGTCCTAGGGTTCTTGCAACTACCAGCTTGGGCCCGGCCATGGGTGTTGTCAAGAGCTAGCCCTGCCCGCACATATGGCGTGCGTAAATTTACTGTGGTGAGCGACGAGCGTCTGGTTGACTATTGGTTCTCTTGCAGTCGTATATGCAGCTCTGCCCGGCGTATCCGGGATAACTCTGCCAAAAGTAAGTCCTTGCTCTGTTGTACTTGAGCAGTTACGTGGGATGCGTGATGGTTGCACATCTACCTAGGTAGGCGCTGATCTGCGGTATTTGATAGACGTGGTAGCAGCCATTCGTTCTTGTCTCGTCGCCAATTCACGTCTGATACTCCGTACATACGCAGGGGAGGCCACTGCAGCATTGGCCGTTCTTAGTTACAACTGCGTTACGTCCATCAAATCATTCCTTTATGCGCTGCCGTCATTTCAAAATGCAGTCCGCGGATACCATTCATTTGGCTCTTTTGGTCTACAATGACCGAAGTGCTTGCTCCGTACCACACTAGCTAATTTGGGCTCGGCGACCAAGAAGAGTAAATTAGTCAAAACGAAAGACGGTGGTTATTATCGACCAGGTATCCATGGTAGATGGCGTTTTGGGACGGCGTCATTGATTTCTTGGGTAAAAGCATACGTCTGCGGCTGATTGTGGCACGCCACACGCCTCGACAATTGTTTCATCTGCATGGCGAAATGCAGTATTCACATTTTAATCAGTCCATATTTGACGATAAAATTAAACGCCTGGCCTCGATCGGTCATCAGTAGCAATCCGGGTGAGTAAGTGGCGAAAGGCAAATGTAAGACGCCGAGACTTGGAAGCAGCCGCTAGAGAGCAAGTTGATTGTTAACTATTGATGGATATACACGCCGTTTCTCACACCAAACAACCCGAGCCACGTCGATCCGTAGGTACTGGTCCAATATGTGTAAAAGTTGAAGAGTAACCGAGGCTTGGCTGAACATGTCAAGATCAAGTCGCTCATTAGAAGCAACAGAAATTGTTAT